CCCAAGTAAAGAGGATCCACGTCAATATACGATGAGTAGCCACCATGATTCGGATGAATATGAGGATGTTGACGACACTGAGCCATTCTAACAACTACTCTCAAATCACACATGACAACCACATAACGCTACACTATAATATACGAGTAAACCTGTTGTGACTAGGAACTCCTGGTTCCTCTTGGTAGAAGGCGAGCTTATGTACAACTGAAAAGTGAATGACGAAGTAATTTTGACAAGGAAAGTAAACTCCGCATTTCGATATTAATACATCATGGATGTTATTCAGAGCGACAAGAAGTTGCGTAATTGTGGTATAGGGGACAATTTTCACTGTAACCCATAGACTGGGAAAATGAATCTCCATAATAACAACGGGTCCATTCCCAATTATGGAGGGTGAACAAAGTGCCTTCGTGATTGAACAACCCATCGTACTGCTCTTGGGTAACAATCTGATAGAAAAACCATCAGATCAAAAACAGCAACAACGACAATGTATATGTAATTGCGTAGCGAGCGAAGCGAGCGGGGCGTATTCTCTCACTTTACTAACACTTTGTGCGTGCGTACAAATTATCCAGCTCGATCGAGAGAAGTTATGATCACATGTTATACACCATTCGATAGCTCTCGCTCTGGGGATACTAGGAAAAATACGAAATTAGGGTTCCGCCCGGACCATGTAGATTTCCGTGCAAAAAACATATTTTTGCAGAAAAACGCCAGGCATGGGAATCGAACCCGGATGCCGAGCTCCGCCCCTTCTCCGAGAAGGCCTAGTACCACACCATCGCCACTTACTCCATCCGGGACCATAAGGGCCTTCATTTTGTTCAGGGTATTCCAAGCGTATTCGATGCCACCAGAAGGATTAGGGTATGTTGCAGAATCAAAAGCACACATAGAGATCTTATGACAATTCGAACCCATTTTACAAGATCCCTAAAAGGAAAAAATCATACATCTTTCGAAGTGATCTATACAACTCCTTACCTCTACCATGATGGTGATCTTAGCCTTAAGATTCTGCCACCCCGGTTGTGTGCATACTAGACATTGATCGTGCAACATCCAACGTAGACGCCCCAGCAGATCGTCGGCATTACTAAACAAAAACAATATCAAAACCTCCTACCTGGAATGCAATAGTAAAGTTTCACCCGTTTAATGTGAAGTGGCGTAATACTCTATGTAAAATATAAGGCATATGCATTTCGATACAATTTCAGCGAGGCCAAATATGAAATATGTTTCTACTCGTATTTCTCATATCACAGCCGAACTCTAGAATAGTCCTCCCAGCTCACTTCCCAGTAGTGTCCTTGATTTCATTCCTATACAACATCATCAACGCCGAATCAGCATACTGCATCACATATTGCGTACCCAACGTATCAGGCGCGCCTTCGATCGTGTACTGAACATAAATAGAGTTAGGTAAGTAACCAAGACCCTTGTGAAGATCTTCCTTCATCTGTTGGGCGTCTTGAAGAGCCTCCTTGATGTAATTCTGTTCTATATGCTCCACGTCAAAGCTCAGCCCGATCGGTGCAATTTCAGCCATCGTGTTGGCGTCCACATAGTTGATGAGGAAGTCCTTGAAAGTTTGTACAAATGCAACCATCAAAGCGCCTTCCTTGGAAACGACATCACCATATGTTAACCATAGGATGCCCTGATTGTTGGTTTTTCTTCTGAAGTTGACCATAAATTCTACCAGTTTCTCGGGGGTCGCGAGGGCGTGAGCGTTGGTGCTGTCTGCGATATTCACAGAAACATCACCACAGTTCCATTCTTGTCCCATATCAGAGTTGAGGAATTCAAAGAGCTTCTCGTTACCATCACGCCAGTAGTTCTGCGACCATGTGTAGGTACCCAGCATTCTCCCTGAACACTGCGTACTCGGGGGCTTCCTACTAGTCGGTGTTTGTGTAGTCTTCGGATAAGTAGCCGTACCGGTGTTGGTGGTTGGCAAGAAAGCACTGGTAGTCGTCTGAGCCGGAACTGTCGGGACCTGGGGAGGAGGAGTACCAGAAGAACAACCAAACATGAACGTAGAAGGGATGATGGCTAATACGATGGCTGAAGCAATTCTTGGATAGATCATAATATAAGGACAGAGACGAAACTGATGAAATCATCAATGTATAACTCGACGGAGAATACCCTCACATATTGTCGTCCATAGGTTGGACTAAGTACAACAGGGAAAGTTAGAGTACGCTTACACGACTTCAAGTCTTGTCCACAGTTTTAGAATATATTGGAGTATCCATACACATAGTTCTTCTCATGGGCTCATAGTCCGGCTGAGCTATAGATGAGGTTGAACAACCTCATCCGTCGAGTCACAAGTTGTAGTGGAAGACTACAGTCCACCATCTGCTTTGATACAAGTCTACATGAAGAAGTAACGAAGTTGCACAATTTCCTGACCTAATGAGCTCGGGCTTGCTCCGACAACCACACCGTGAATGATTCAGATCAGCTTGGGCGATCACCCAAGCTGTATTTCTCAACGACTCGAGTAGTACAATTTCACGTTTCCACATCTTCAAGATTCCTCCAGAAATCCCAACGTCGCGTTCTGCCCTGTTAGGCGAGGAATCTTAGCCTCGAAAATTTTCTGTGCGTAAATCGACTGCGTTCATTCACTATTATCTAACTTTGATGGATGATCAGCTGCCTGGATGACACGGAGATAGATGTGCTGTCCTGCAAGTGCAAACAGCTCTACTAGTGTTCTCGCTCGCCCTGATATTTCCCCGTTTTTGATAATTCTAGGGCTGAGCCCTATCATCATGCTTTATGATAGGGCTGAGCTGTGCTGTTGAATTAGAACTGTTCTGATGGATGTTCCCAACAGATTCGGTAAGATACTGGACTATATCGTATTAGTCTATGACTACTCACTCTAAGGATAATTGTGAGTCTAGCTTGCATTGTGTTAGGATGCAGTCGTCGGGAATGACTCTAGATAACCCATCGAACGCTCGTGCTTTGCCTCATGATTCTCTAGGCCACCTTCTACGCCAACATCTATTCACCACTCTCACGACTCAATTTCCGTACATAGACGGTATGCGGCGCGCGCTAATGACTGAAGCGCTTGTTCCAGCAACTGGACCACATTGTTTGGTTGCCCCCACAGTATTCGGTCCGAACACAACTGTTCCTGCGTGCTGAAGCGCGTTGCAAGATAGAACTACTGTAGAATGTGAACTCCACATTCTACAGTAGTAATCTAGTGGTAATCCACTTCACATTGTGAAGTGGATCATCAACGAGTCATGCTACACGGCTCGTGCATGAGTCGATCGCCCAGATGGGTCAAGGAAGCTGTATTGCATAGCAATACCGATGAACGATTGCGTTCGACTCGAACTCGTCAACACATCACGATGTTGGAAAGACCATCGTCATGACAAAGAGATCGCTACATGCAAGGCCAAGGCCTTCGATCGTACGTCTGTCGGCACATAGGACAGGAACGCGTCTCGAAGACCTTGAAGGACTCGAAACTATCGAGGCATTTCTGATGGAAAACATGGGTGCAAGATAGCACTGCAATTGGTCTCGATGGATGCTCCGGTGCTCCAGCTTTCCGCACTATGCTCAGCTGAGATAAGTAAAAGCCTCGATACTCTCGCATCGATGAACTCCGCATTACGTGGTCATAGCAGATTGGACAATCGCAGTCACCACGCTCTAGAACGTTGGCGACGGCCTCATGCAACCAGTTGGGAATGTCCGCATCAG